GCAAGGTTCAAGTGCACAAGGTGATGGTGCACAAGGTAAAGCCGACCCTGGTATGTTCCTCATGATTGAGGACGTGCAAGGGAGTGGGGGTGATGTGGGTTCAGCTGGGAAGGTTGTGATGCACCCCCTCACTCACTGGGTGATCGATTCAGGTTGCACGAGTCACATGACTCCACGGGCAGATTTGCTTGATGAGGTGAAGCCCCCTGGGAAGATAAAGTTTGTGGCTGCCGCTTCAGGTGCCTTGCTCCCTGTGATTGGTGTTGGGAATGCCAAGGTTATGGGAGCTAATGGGGGGCTTGTGGGGCTGGGAAATGTGCTGTTGGTTGAAGGTTTATCCGCTAACCTCCTCTCTGTGCGCCGGCTGCAGAAAAGCAAGGCCAAAGTTACGTTCGGCCCAACCTGCTGCCGTGCAAAGCTTGGGAAGTTGCTGCTGTGGAATCTGGAGGAGAAGAGCAGCTGCATCAAGGACTTGTGGCAGCTGCCCATCATCCCTTGGAAGGGGAAACCACCAGCAACGGCAAAGGCAGCGGCAGCGGCTAAAGCAACTGCGGGAGGAGAGGAGTCTGCACCAACTGCTGCGGCCATGGATGCAGTCAAGAAGGTGCAGCAGCCACAACAGCCACATGGTGAGGTGCTTGCTGGTGTGGATGCGACAGCTGCATGGGCAAAGGCTTCATCTGGGAGTGGTGAGGCTGATTGGGAGACGTGGCATGAGAGGCTGTGCCATGTGAACATTCCTATGCTGCAGAAGTTGGTAATGGATGGGTGCTTGAAGGGGCTGGAGGTGAAGGGGGGAGCTAAGGAGATTGGGAGCTGCCCTACCTGCCTTGAGACCAAATTCACGAAGTTTCCCTTCAGCAGCAGCACAGGACCAGCAAAGGCACCACTTGCACTAGTGCACATGGATGTGGTGGGCCCCACGAGGGCCCTTTCTCTCTCGGGCAGCCGCTACTTTTTGACAATTGTGGACGACCACACGCGTGCGGTGTGGGTGTACCCTCTCAAGACTAAGGGGGAGGTGGCAGCGGCTGTTCTTAAGGAGTGGATGCCGAGAGCACAAAGGGAGAGCGGACACAAGGTGAAGGTGATCCGCACTGACAACGGAGGAGAGTTCATCGGCGCTGATTTTGAGAAGGAGCTGAAGCGGAAGGGGATCCAGCATCAGCTCACAGTGCCTTACAACCCTCAGCAGAATGGCGTGGCTGAGCGGTTCAACCGGACCCTGCAGGAAGGTGCTCGCACTCTCCTTGGGCGTGCAGGGCTGCCGGATCCGTTTTGGGTGACAGCACTGCGGCAGGTCGTTGTTGTGAAGAACCGGGTGCTGGCGACTGTGGGGGACAAGCAATGGGTCCCCTACACCAAGTGGTATGGGAGTGTGCCTGCAGTCAACATGCTGAGAACTTATGGCTGTATGGTGGTGTTTCATGTGCCTAAGGAGAAGAGGGGAAAACTGGAAGCTTCTGGGAGATGGGGTGTGCACTTGGGGCTTGCTAAGGATCACAAGGGCTGGCTGATTTGGGACTTGACCAGCCAGCAGCTGACTGTGTCGAGGGATGTGAAGTTCCTTGAGTCCTTGTACTACAAGGAGTGGAAGCAGCAGCAGCACAAGCTTCCCACTACACCGCTGATCATTGAGGCTGATGAGGTGCAGCGGCCTTCGAGGCAAGTGCAGGTCACTGTCTCAGAGGAGGAGATTTCTGGGGTGACTGAGGATGGGGGAGAACCTGAAGTGGAGGAGCAGCAGCAGCAGCAGCAGCAGCAAGATACTCCACAAGGTGCCGCACATCCGGCTGACCGTCCTAAGAGGGATGTGCGCCCTCCTAACCGGCTGACCTATGCGAGCCGTGGCACGCCAAGTGTGGTACCGGCTGGAAGTGTGGCTGAACAGATGGATGAGGATGAGATAGCGTATTGCTATGGAGCTGCAATGAGATGGTTTGGTGGATAGTGTTTTGAAACAGACGCTGCAGAGGGTGCTACAGATTTGAGCAAAGAGGAGATGTTGGAAGTGGGATGTTGGAAGGAGATGATTGTCCCTTGGGATGAGTGTTGGAAGTGAATGAAGCTTGCTGGGATGAGTGTGCATTGAGGGTGCATGCTTGAGCTATGGCATGTGGGATGCTGGTTGGCAGCCAGAGGGGGAGTTTGTTGAGTGATGCTACCATTCGCATTCACGTCTGTCTGCCTCCCATCATGTGTTCGTGCGTTGCATGTGTGAAATGAGCGTGCGCAAGAATTTGTGTTCTCTGTGGTTTGGATTTTCTGAGTGTGTGTGTGAATGTTATTTGGCTTGAGCAGATATCTGAAGTGACTCCACTGCTCAAGAGCTTTCTGACGAACCAAGAATCACTTCAATCGGAGCACGAACAAGAAAGTTACGAACGTTGGAGTTCGTATGCTTTTGATATTTGGTTGTGGTGACCATGGAGAGTTGTGGGGTTGACTCAATATGGGGTACAGACTTTTGGGGGTTGGGAAACTCGTCACTACTACTGTAGTTGCTGCCAATTGGTTGGGAGAAACCAAACCAGGTTGGCAAGTGTGGCCAAGTTGGGTTGAGGTGGATTGTGGAGGTTGGGATAGTGACAAAGGTCAAAGTTGGGTTGCCTATGGGGAAGGGAATTGTGTGGCATGGAGTTTTCTTTGGTTGGGGACTCCTTGGGACCTTCCCTCTCGTCCTCCTCTTTTCTCCTACCTGGTTTAGTGCTACTCCAACTCTCTTGTGTGCTACTCTTGTGAACTTGTGAAACTATTGTGAGTGAATTTAATTTCTATGTGGCAACATACCCCCTGGTGCGCCGTAAAGCATAACTCGAGATTTACTCCACTTTTCGATACGACTCATATTGTGAAATGTAGCCACGGTTTAGGGCTACAACATATCTGAGTTTTGTGAAGCTTTGACGATGAACGTTTTGTCGACGGCGTTTCTTGTGAGCGCGACTTTTCTGTCCAGAATTCTAAGCCAACGATTTTGAGAAATTTAGGCACCTAATCTTCGTAGACTCTATCCTTAGTCTATAACACATAGATATCAATCCCCTTCTTCAGGAGATCAAGCCAGCGGGGCAGCTCAGTGGCCTGAGGGAATTGAACACGCCAAGCGTCGTCGAGACGAGAGAAGCAGCGCTGTGTGGCGTGCGGTCGTCCACACTACTGACTAGTGCGGTCACCAGTGCGAATGACGTACGTGCAGCTAAGACCACCCCCACCCCTGTGCTGAGAGTACCACTCACGGACCTCCTGGGGCAAGGGAGTGTGCTGCTGGCCCTGGCCACCGCCAGTGCCTCCACGGCCACCACCACCGCTGCCACCTCCTCGACCACCCCAACCCCTGCCGCCGCCTCGTCCACCGCCACCCCAACCGCCGCCTCCACTCCTGCCACCTCCCCTGCCGCTGCCGCCACCACCCCCACCGCTACCACTCGCCCCTCCAGCCGAGCCACCACCCCCACTGCCTCCACAGCCCCCACCGCCGCCTCCCCTGCCGTCACCGCCACCACCCTTGCCCCCTTTGCCCTTGCCGCTACGGCCTCCGCTCGAGGCAGACGCAGCGCCGACCTTCTCAGTACCAAGAAGGTCGACAGCAGCAGCAGAGGCGACAGAGGGAAGAAGGGGGGAAGGAGAACACCCCTCAAAGAACGGGGTACGGGGGTCACCACGAGAGGCACCTACACCGACTATGCTAGTCTCAGCTGCAAGTAGCTCCTTCTCGAGGAGGGCAATGGTGAGCTCAGTGGGGCAACGAGCTAGGAAGTGGTCTCTGTCAGCACGCAGTGTGTCAGGGAGGCGGGTGACTAGGTGGTAGAGAGTGAGCCAGAGTGGAGGGGGGTGCGTGGCAAGGAACTCAGCAGGCATGGCGGCACGGAAGCGGGCCTCACTAGTACGAAGGTGCGTGATGAGGTCAGCGACTGTATGAAAGGAGGCCAGGTCGGGAAACAGGTAGGGGAGGGAGAGACGGCCCAGTGCGGCAGAGGCAGGTGAGGAGTAGCGAGCAACTACAGCTGTGTACAGTGCCTGTGCAGTCTTGTGCTGGCCAAAGTGCTCGCGTTTGTCTATCGGCAGGGAGTTGCGAATGGCGAAGCGAGCGTGGGCATCACGAGTCTGCCACTGTGAGCGAGCAGTGCTGTCAGCAGTAGCAGCAGGGGCAGTGACATGGCCTAGGGCGTGATCGTACAGTGAGATGTCATCCTTGGCTGTGAGCTGTAGGTAGAGGTGCAGGTCATCGAGCCAGGTGTCAAACTTCACAGGGCGGCCCTCAGCATCGAGCCGCCAAGCAGCCGAGCCGCCGAGCCGCCGAGCCGCCAAGCACCCAAGCCGCCGAGCTGCCGAGCCGCCGAGCCGCCGAGCCACCGGGCCGCCGAGGCCGCCGTCGAGCCTCCACTACCGAGCCGCTGCCGCCGAGCCGCCGTCGAGCCGCTACTGAATCTGCCGAGCCGCTGCCACCGCGGTTACAGCCCTGTTCCTACCGGCGCGCCCCGGCCCTACCCACCCGGACTGGTGAGAGCACTCCCTGCTAGACCAATGCTGTCATGGCTACCCCCTGACCTTTGATGCTGAGGGTCGTGCTGTTGACTTTGAGGTCTGGGTCGATGACCTCCAGCTCTTCCTACAGTGCGATAGGGTAGACGGACTCTCCCTGTTCGATCTCACCTCTGGTGCCTCTCCTGCCCCGCCTACTGATGCTGACAGCACTGTTCGCTCACACTGGGCCACACGCGATGATGCTGCCCGTCTTGCTGTGCGTCGCCACTTACCGACCGCTGAGCGTGTGCACTTTAGTCAGTACAAGAGTGCTAAGACCTTGTACGACGCTGTAGTTGCACGCTACTCTTCCCCTGCCACTGCTGCTCTTAGCCGCCTCATGCTGCCGTACCTGTTCCCTGACCTTGCTGCCTTTCCCACTGTCGCTGACCTCATTCCGCACCTTCGCACTAGTGACACTCGCTACCGCGCTGCGCTTCCTGCTGAGTTCTGTGCCAAGAACCCCCCCCCCCATGTACATCGTCCTCTACTACATAGTCACCCGGCTCCCTGACTCCCTTCGCTTAGTCAGGGACCACTTCCTCTCAGTTTGCCCCGCCACACTCACCGTTGACCTCCTCGTGGAGCGCCTCCTGGCAGCAGAGAAGAGCATAGTCGCTGTAGGAGCCTCTCGTGGTGACCCTCGTACCCCCGTCTTTGAGGGGTGTTCCCCCTCCCCCCTCTTGCCCTCTGTTGTTTTTGCTGCTGCGGCCGACCTCGTTGGCTTGGAGTCGGTCGGCGCTGCGTCTGCCCCTAGTGGGAGACGCCGCAACGGAAAGGGCAAGGGAGGCAAGGGCGCTGGAGGGGCTGGTGGGGGCGGTGGAGGTGGCGGTGGAGGCAGTGGAGGGGGTGGGGGTGGTGGTGGGAGTGGAGGCGGAGGAGGCGGCGGCGGTGGCGGTGGGAGCGGAGGCGGCGGAGGTGGTGAAGGCGGCGGCGGCAGCGGTGGAGCTGGTCGCGGCTCTGCCAGAGGAGTGGCTCTGGTGGTGGTCCGCGCTAGCTGCAGCAGCGCACTCGTGAGACCCCGTCGCCCCAGCAGCTTTGTGAGTGGTACGCTGGACGTCAGCGGGGTGGGGGTACTGGTCTCTGTACCTACGTCCTCCGTACCGGCGACCGTACGGGTGAGCAGTGCGGGGGCTCTCACTCCACCCACCGCTGCTTTGGCCGCCTGACGGACGCTTGGCGTAACCAGTTCCCTGACGCCACTGAGATCCCTCGCTGGGGAGAGCTGTCTAGGGTGAGGTTGCTATCTTTGATCTTGACTATGATGCTATTCTTGCTGCCATGTATGCTGTGTCTACTAGTGATGAGTGTGACTGTTACCTGTGTGTTCCACCTGACCCGGGAATTGAGGCTGCTGCTCTAGGTGCTGGTGAGGCTGCTGCTCTAGGTGCTAATGCGTCTGCTGCCCCAGGTGCTGGTGAGTCTGCTCTCTCGGGTACCACGTCGGCTCAGGTCTTCCACACCTTCACCCTTGACTCGGGTGCTTCCCGCTCTTTCTTTCGAGACCGCACCACACTTACGCCGCTTAGTCGGCCGGTTGCGGTCTCGCTGGCGGACCCCTCTGGGGGTCCTGTCGTTGCTCGCTTCTCCACTGTCTTACCGTGTCTAGCAGCCCCCTCTGGCACCCTCTTAGGTCTCTACCTCCCCTCGTTCTCTACGAGCTTGGTGAGTAGTGCTGACCTACAGGATGGGGGGGTTGACCAGTTCACTCCTGCGAGTCAGCGGTTGATCCACTGCACGTGTGCTCGGACGGGCCGTGTGAGGATCTAGGATCGAGCTCAGAAAAGATGATTCAAATTGAATTGAATGATCACCTGGGTACAACACGAGGCTATATATAGGCTCGACACAAGGCCCCGTAACCAGGTGTTACGCGAAGGTTCCGCGGGTCGCAAAGCATCCTGAACAGATCCTTACCGAATTCGGTAGAAGGCAATTCGGTGGCAACCGAAAAGCCAGAATTCGGTGCACGCAACCTAGCTCGGTGCTATAACTATAATAAAATATAGGAAAGCACCTAGCCTAGGAAATCAAGCAATTCATGCATGCATATGATTATCATATGCTAGAAATAGCATGATAAAGTAAGGGCAAGCAAGCATAGCTGGCATAAGCCGTCGTACAATCACACGTCCCCCCCTCAAAGCTGGGTGGCGTGAGATACACCCTGCTTGACAAGATAGTCCTTGAGAGCACGGCGTGCGTTGCCCAGATCAGCTTCTGCAACCCAACTGTCCTTAGTGGGGTCGTATCCCTTCCAGCGTATCAGGAACTCGAGGGTCTTGCCACCGCGGCGCCGATGGGTGAGAACGCGCTTGATCTCGTACTCGGGTTCATCCTGTATGAGAACAGGTGGTGGTGGCGGTAGTTGCCGTCCCTGGATCTGTTGGTTGGGGTCCTTGTAGGGCTTCAGTAGCTGGACATGGAAAGCGTTGTGAAGCTTCCATGTATCTGGTAAGCGCAAGCGGAATGTAACTGGTGTCACCTGTGCCTCAACGAGAAAAGGACCACAGAAGCGAGGCCGGTGTTTGGATGGGAGGTGAGACAGGTTCAAGTTGTGCGTTTCAAGAAGCACCTGATCTCCGACTGCTACTGAGTGATCACGTCGCTGACGATCGGCATACTGCTTCTGGGAGTTTTGCATCGTTGTGAGACGTCGCTGAGTCTTCTCCCATAGCTGCTGCATGGTGGTGACGAAGTCATGTGCGGCTTGGACGTATGCCGGTGTGGTTGGCTGCTGTGGTGTGAATGGTTCCCGTCCGTAACACAGGAAGAAAGGAGTTGTTCCAGTGGTCGCATGTGATGCGTTGTTGTAAGCGAACTCTAGGGCCGGTAACTGTGTGTCCCAATGGCTGACGTCGTCCTTGCAAGCTGTGCGCAGTAACTGTTCAACCACTTGATTGAGTCGCTCTGTCTGTCCGTCAGTCTGGGGGTGGTATGCTGAAGACATTGCAAGCTTTGTCCCCAACAGTCCCATGAGCTCCTTCCAGAACTTACTCGTAAATTTGGGGTCTCTGTCTGAGATGAGTGTAGCGGGGATGCCGTGGATGGTGATGATGCGGTCGAAGAAGAGTCGAGCAGTTGCTTCAGCTATAGCTGTGGCGTTGGTCGGTATGAAGTGACCCATTTTGGAGAACTTATCGATCACCACGAGGATGAAATCATGTCCCCGTGAGGTCGAAGGAAGTCCTGTGATGAAGTCGAGGCTAACGACCTGCCATGGCTGCTCCGGTACGGGTAGAGGCTGAAGTAACCCTGCTTTTTTCTGCTTGCTGCTCTTCATCCGCTGGCACGTGTCGCAAGAGGTGACGAACTGCTGCACGTCTGCTGCCATCCCGGACCAGTAGTAATACTTTGCTATCCCTGCTAACGTCTTGTTGCTCCCGAAATTTCCCGCGTAAGGTACGTCGTGAAACTCCTCCAATAAGATCTGCCCTAGCGGGGCGTAATTCGGTACCCAAATCTTTCATGAACCCTTTCTTACAGCTAAGTCTTTCTCCCACTGTAATAGCTTCTTGGTCTGTGCTGTAGCAATCTCTGCGTCCACGGAGTACCCATGTTGGAATAGATTCTTGAGCAGAGGGTTCATCCCGCCGAGCTGGATGCCTGCTACATGTCCGGGGCGGCTCAACGCGTCTGCCTTGTTGTGTAGCCCGGGCTTGTAGGCGATGTCGTAGTGGAAGTGAGTTTCCAGGAAGTCCACGCACCGCATCTGTCGTCGTGAGAGTGTCGGCTGTGACTTCAGGTATTTGAGACTGCAGTGGTCAGTATAGACTGTAGTCTTGGCTCCCTCTAGGTAACACCTCCACGCTTTGAAGGCTATGACTATCGCTAAGGCTTCCTTGTCGTGAATGGGGTAGTTTAAATCTGCTCCGTGTAGCTTCTTACTGAGGTAGGCGATGGGCTGCAAACCGCGTCCGTGATCCTGCATCAGTACTGCTCCGACTGCTTGGTCACTAGCGTCTGCTTCCACCACGTAGTCCTTGTCTGGATCCGGCAAGATGAGTACTGGCGCTGTAGTCAGTGCTGTCTGTAGCTGCTCCATGGCTTGCTGATGAGGGGTATCCCATTTGTAGGGCGTATCCTTTTTCAGTAGGTCAGGCAGTGGCGCTGCTATCTTAGCGTACTGCGGCACGAACCTGTTGTAGTAGTTGGCGAAGCCTAGGAACTGCTGTAACTCCTTCACGTTCTCTGGTACTTTCCACTTCTTGACGGCTTCGATCTTCCGTGGGTCCACGTGTACGCCCTCGGCACTCACCATGTGCCCGAGAAACTACACCTTCTTCAGGGCGAATTTGCTCTTTGTCAGCTTTACGTAGAACTTGTTTTTCCGCAGGATCTCGAACACCTTCCGCAGATGCTCCACGTGCTCCTTCATGTTCTTGGAGTAGATGAGAATGTCGTCCAGGTACACCACCACGCACTCGTCCAGCAGGGGTCGTAAGATGTGATTCATCTCCGCCTGAAACGTTGCTGGTGCGTTGCAGAGTCCGAACGGCATCACCAAGTATTCGTAGGAGCCGTATCTGGTACGGAACGCTGTCTTGTGGACGGAGTTGTCTGCCATCTTGATCTGCCAGTAGCCCGATCGTAGGTCCAGTTTCGAAAATACTGTTGCTCCACGTAGTTGATCGAGTAGGTCGTCTATGCGCGGTATGGGATATTTGTTTTTGACGGTCTGTTTGTTCAGTGCGCGGTAGTCGATGCACATCCGTAGACTACCGTCTGGCTTTGGAGTGAAGAGAACTGGTTCACCGTAGGGAGAGGTGGATGGGTGGATCAGTTGTCTGTCTAGTAGATACTCTATCTGTTTTTCATGTCTATCAGTTCAGTTGGACTCAGTCGGTATGGTGCACGTAAGACGGGTCTCGCACCTGGTTCCTCCACGATCTCGTGCTCGTGGGTGCGTGCTGGAGATACGCCTGTGGGTAGGTTGTCGGGCATTATATCCTTGTACTGCTCCAAGACCTCCTCCTCTGCTGCTGCTATAACCAGTGCTAAGTAACCCGTGTTACTCTCGTTCACTGTCCGTTCGAACCGTGCCAGTGTCGTTTCAGGAACGCTCCCTGTATCCGTCAAGCTTCGCAGCTCCACTCGTTTCCCGTTGTTGTAGATGCACACCTTGCTGTTGACCCAATCGATCTCGGGGTTGAACTGCTTCAGGAGATCTCGCCCCAAGATAAAATCTAATCCCTTGATGTTCGTGATCGGCAACGTCGGCTTCCACCTCAACGCCCCTATCTGCAGCTGCAGTGTTGACTTTCCGTGGATGGGAAGCTTCGTACCGTCCACCATCGTTGCTGTAAACTGGGTTTCTTCTTAGGATTCTCCAATTTTCTCCAACGTCCCGCGGTCGCACACCGAGTGGGACGCACCACTGTCCACCAGGGCCTGGAGGCGACGCCCGTTGCAGATCACCTCGAGTACTAGTGGTTGCTGCTGCTCCGAGTATCCGTAGATGGTATCGCTTATAGGATCGTAGGGTACGTCGAATATGTTATCCCTAGGTCCTGCGCTCAAAGATGCAGCTTCAGTATCAGTTTTCAACTGAGAAAGGCTAGAAGGATTTATCCGAGGCCGATTCGGCTTCTCTTGGGCCTGGAACCTTCCACTAAGCCTTTGCAGCTGTGTAGGCTTCATATGTGGGGAACAGGGAGCCTTTAAACAGTGCTGCTGGGAGAGAATATTAACTCCTCGGAACGCTCGACCCGTATTAGCGCTCTGGAGTAGGGTCCCCATAATACACGGTACCGGTTTAATTTCTCACTCTCCCTTAATAAAGGCTTGAAACCCACGAGAAGTAATATTCTTACTTGTCAGGGTATACGGCTGGAGTTTCCCGGTCGGTGCAGGGTCTTGTTTCGCGGATCCTCCATTAGTCTCGGCGATTTCCCCTGGTGCCGGCTGGTCGTGACGTTTTAAATTTGCGCCACCATATTCTCCTTTTTTCGCCCTCTCCGAAGTTGCCACGTTGTCCGTCTTCGCCTTCTGAAACCACCTTTTCACCAATTTCCCTCTCAACTCACTCGACACTCACCTTGGGCCCAACTCACTCGATACCTAGTTAAGGGCCTAGGCTACTAAGCCTAGGCCCCTCACCTTTCAACTTAATCTACTTTAAGTTCGACATGTTATCGGAGCCGAGTGTTCGTCCTGGCCTGTGGGCCCACTTTACTTCCGCTGCTAAGATTTTACGGTCGCGCGCCTAGGGCGCGTGACGGTTTTATTTTTACCTTGTCCCGCCCACGGGCGTGTGACTCCTTCCCTGCCCGTCGCGCGCTCCGTGGCACGCGACGGTGCCCTTCTACTGCCCATCGTGCGCCCCGTGGCACACGATGGTGCCCTGCTCGTCGTGTGCCCCGAGGCACACGATCGGGCCCTTTTATGCTACCCGTCGTGCGCCCCGTGGCACTGGCCCGCGACGGGCCTTTCCGCCCCTGCACTCCCTGCTGCCGCCCCTGACCCATCTGCACCGACGCCTCTTCGCCGCTCTGCGGCTTTCTTCCTTCCCACCCCCCCCTTTCTCTTGTCTCCCTGCAGCCGTGGGGAGGAGGGTATGGGGGTGGAGGGTGTTGGAGCGTGGGGTCAACTCTCTCCCTTTCCCTCCTCCTTCTTTCAGTCCCACCGCTGCAGCTGCCGCTGGGGGAGGAGGGTGTGAGGATGTGGGTGAGGAGGGGGAGTGGTACCGGGGTGGCGGGTGTGAGGCAACAAGCAGCCGTCCCTCCACCTCTCCTCTCTTCCCCCTTCTCTGCTGCTTCTGCAGCAGTGTG